TCATTTACGTCGTTGGGTTTGGCAGCGATCTCTAATATTTTCTTTCTTTCTTTCTTTCCTTCTTTCTTTATTATTATTAATAACTATTTTATTTTATTTTTGGTGATGGATGGCCCGCCCTCACTTTCTTAGCTTTTGCACTTTCCCACCCCTGATGAATGGGTATGATCGAGATTTGCTTATTTCGGTGGCTCTTTTGACCCCCCTCTCCCCTGCCCCTCTTCCTCCTCCCAAGGTTGTTGTTGCTGTTGCAAATCGCACCATCTCTTTATGCTCTCCTTTTCTCGGAAGACAGCCCGCGGATATAAAACTAATGTAAATGATACACCCTCCCCGCCTCCATCTCCTCTCTTCTTATTTTAGCTTTTGGGTAACCTTTTTGTTCGTACCACCGCTCATGAAGTTGTTTCTACACTCTTCGTCAACTCGTTCTAAGTGCTATCTTGAATTTTATATCCACCCCATGTAAGAAATAAGAAAGAAAAGAAAAGGGCCGGATATATATGTCCCAAGGGAACCACCGTCTATATATATATATATATATATATATATTTCCAGTCAACCCGGCATATAGAATCCATCCCATCCCATCCCATCCACTTCTAAAGAATAACAACGTGAAAAAAAAAGAAAAGAAAAGAAAGAACTATATGCACCACCCTGCCTCTGTCTTCCCCGCCTTCTCTACAAATCCCCTTCCCACATCGAAACCGACTGATCGTTGAAGATCCAGAGATCGCCCCTCTTCATCTGGGGTACACTGCTAACCCCCACCCCACCCACCACTAAATAACGCTCGAACAAGCAAACCCACAAGCCCACAAACAAGACAACCCTATGTACACCTGCGGGCTCTAGATGCATGTATATGATGGTATGAATAATGCGAATAAAAGGGCAAGACTGCAATGTAATAAACTACTCATGTAGAGAAAAGAAAGAGAAAGAGAAAGACCAAGCAAACTGAGGTATCATGTCATATATGGTTTCTCTTGACGGGGGATGTTGAAGTCTCAGTCGGTCGAGGGGCAATGGCTTGCGATGCCAACCCTCACTACGTATTAAGGGGCTGCTCATTCTCATTCAGTTTGCTGGCCCGGCTGGGCCGTTCCCCCCCCTTTTTTTAAGCGCGCTTGCCGCCCTTCTTGGACTTGGTAAGGTCTCGTTCACGCCTTGCGTAGATTTCAGCAGTGAAGGGGCTGCTCAGGAACGGGAGGGGTGGTTAGTAGTTGACATGTGGAGTGATGAGTGTATTCTCTCACAAGAGGGGATAATATGTGTAACGGAGGAAAAAAAAAAAAAAAAAAAAAGAAAAGAAAAAAAGAAAGAAAGAAAAGAAAAAGAAAAGGAAAAAGAAAGAAAGAAAAGAAAAAGAAAAGGAAAAAGAAAGCAAATGAATCACTCACTCCTCCCACTTCAACGCAAGCCAATACGACACAAACACCTCCAGCGTCAGCAACAGCCCCGCCACCTTTCCCTGATACAACGCCACCGCCAAAAAGCCCATCGTGCTCCCCCAATACATCGGCGACCCGGTCACATTGAACGGGAACCCGGTCACAGGCGCATCCATTAGGATCCCAAAGTAATCGCCCAGATACGTCCCCGTGAGGCCTAGCGCCCACATGCTGGATACCACGAGGGTGGTTCCCGCCGCGAAGAGGCCATAGGCGAGATAGGGTTGGTACACGGGCTGGTAGAAGGGCTGGTCGGCCAGGGCGTTGTTGTAGAGGTGGTCGCGGACGATGCCGAGGGAGAAGATGACGAAGGCGAGGACGTAGCAGCCTCTGTGGGGACTGCCGAAGGTGCGGGTTAGGATGCGGTTGTGGTATTCTGTTGTCGGTTTGTTGGGGTTGGGGGGTAAGATTTGAGCATTTGTTTACTTTTTGTTGTTGTTAGGTTTAGTATTCGGCTATGGTTGGTACTGTACCTTGGCGGGCGATGATGCTTTGGGCGGAGGTAGTGGTTAGAGAGGGGTTTTCCCTTTGCTAATCGAGTGGGAAAACGTACTTCCAGAATATGGGATTGAATGCTATCGCAGTCGTGGCCACTGTTGGAGGATAAGAAGGCCGTTAGCGATTTGTCTTCACCTACTTCTGGTTATGGGGCGGGAAAAAGACCGTTGCTACTACAAAGGGGATCGATCAGGTTGGGGATGAAGATTCCTACAATGCAGGCTTTTTTGGGAAAAATCGATGTAATCCGTAAGGGACGGCATTTTGACAGGTGGTTTCTGCAATGAAGAAGAGAGGGAATCCGGCGGAGGAGGAATTGTTGCTGCTGGACGGGATTGACAGCCAAGTAAAACACAACAGACTGAAAACATGCGAGTCGATTCATTTCTCTTAGTAGATTCTTCAACTGTTAACTAAACCTCAACAATGCTCGGGTCAAATCACATTGGAGGGAGGGACAGATTTTGTGGAGTTTAACAACCTTATCGAATTCTTTATATTATGGAATGCATTTAAAATAACCAGTTATGTTATAATATCAATCTATGATATTAAATTTATGGAATATTTATAATTGAATTACTCTATTTTAAAATATCATTTAATTTCAAAAATATCAATACTAATATAAAGAGTTAAATTCTATAGATTTATCTATTCGATTATTTTTTAATTTACAAAAAGGTACTTAAACTGAGAAATCTATATTTTAGGAGTAATATATTATATTATATTATACTTTTAATAATTCCTTTATTAAAATAAATAGATGTTAAGATTACTGATTATATATCTAATTAAATAATAATATTGGAATAAAAAGATATTACAAATTTTCATAGTGTATATATATATATATATGTAGATATTTAAACTAGATCATATCGAGAAAAGAAAGGGTACTAATACATGAAGAAAAGGGTCCATAGCTTAAGTCTTTCATTGATGCTCATTTATTCTCAACTTTTGATCATCTTACTGTAGCACCGACTCGGAGCTTGAAGTCCACCAGCCATCAAGGACGAATTTCTAACACTGGTTGGCAATCCAACTGTCTCCTGCTGCATAGTCATCCCCATTGCTTTGTGAACCCTTGTCACTAATGGGCTCTCTCTCCCCACTCATCATCGCCATCATCAAGATTATCATCACACCGCTCAGCAGCTATACTCAATGCCCTGAGACGCTGGGAAAAGCCCATTGTATGTCGAGCAACCGCATATCTGGCAAGGGGAGATTTTCTGGATCGGGTGTTTTCAAGGCTTATTTCATCGCCTGAACAGATTTTGCGTAGTCCAACGAGGTCCTCAGGCATGGAAGGGATGTTCATGATGTCAATTTCAAATGAAGTTGAACGCCTAGGGAGCCAGTAAAATTTCAGTGCCAGGCGTTTGCCATTCCTCAGACATCTTTCACAGGCTGCAGAGCGAAAAAAACCCCTTTGTACGCCAGCGATATACGTGAGGGGCGAAAACACATCAGGTTTTCAACAACTTCAGTCCCTCGCAGGAAAACTGCCTGGAACTCTGCATCAACACGTTCTTGAGACTTAAAAAAAAAAAAATTCTTTAGTATGTTCCAAAAGTCACTTTTCTCGCTTGCCCTCGCCCATAGCGAAGGGAAAGTAAATAAACGACATCAATTGGGTCCGGATATTTTTGTCAGAATGCACATGGATCCCATCTCTTTTGCGGCACTATGAATTGGAAGCAGCAATTTTATCCTCAGTCAGAGTGGTGCTCACTCCCTCCTTGGGCAATGTCTGCTCTCGGTTGATTATCCTTCCGCACTCTTTTATACATGACAGGCCTGCCTCCGACGCCCCTCCGCCTTACGTTTTAAACCGCTGGTTGCAATCACTGTTGCGAATGTTGAGGGCTGCAATTCTGATTTCTGCGCCTCTGGTTGGTTGCCTCTCATTGACCGTCGCAGTGGGGTTGATGGTGAAGAAGCTTGGGGATCGTGTTGAGGGAGTAGATCCAGGACTTGACGGGGTCGATTTCGAGCGGTGCCGTTGAGACCCCGGGAAATGGAGAGAGATATTGGCCGCGCGAAGAAGTCTCCTGAGAAGGGGCTATGCGAAACACACACTGGCGGACCATCATGATGGCATGATCGAGGCTTTTGAGATAGGACCTGATGACCTCGAAGCGGGTTGCATTCACAGGCGTGACCGTTCGATCCAGGGTTTGGATATCGGAAAGCTCCATAGACAGGTCCAGGCCGTCTGAGACACAACGCATCCAAGGGAATCTTTCAATTTACCCAGCAGCATCTGACGTTTTTCATTTTGAAATTCCACCTGCGGCCCACTGTTTTTGCCTCGGGAGAAACGGGGAGCGAGGCAGGAGAGCTCGTAGAGAAGATAAAACTTGTCGAGGAAGACTTGAGCAGCAAAGGTGCTAGAACTTGAGTAAAAACAGAGAAAAGACTTAATCTCCTGTATATAGTATGTTTTCAATGCGGAATTTAATTCTTCAGTTCTTCCAGTTCTTCTAGGCTTCTATACCAGCAAGGATCCTTGCCCAGCAAGTCACTACATAGCATTCTCCACTAGCAAACTCTCGACATTCCTAGCTAACCCCTAGTTAATTCGCCCATTTACTAGTCAAATTCGATCAGATCAGGGGTAGGCCTAAGTGGGATCAAATCCAAACCGTAGCCGTAGATTCTAGTTAGTTAATTTGGGTGAAATGAAGCAGCGGGTTATTACAAAAGGTATTCGTTTTCCGTAGGTAGAGACGACTAGCAATTAATCGTCGTAGGTCGCTTCTGCTACTACAAGTAGTTATATAACTATACAGGGAGGCACGTGATTAGGGTCGCTCGGGGTATCCTCCCAACACATTTGAGACCCTCTGCTTCTCTTCATCTCATCTTTTTCTTCCTTCACTTGATCGACTGTAGATACTTACTCTTCAGACTAGACACCTAGGGTACTGGGGATGCTGTCACGCCCCTTTGCCTGACCGCCACAGAGGATCCAAGGTTGTATTGATTGCGTTCACAGCTTACTAGCACGGTTTGTTTTTTCCCCGGATCCATTCGTGCACCCCACTCCATCCAAGAAGACAGCCCAGAAACAGCAAATCATGTCGTTGTATCACTATCTCTCATAAAGTTGTTCGGATTGACAGCATGGGGCCAGCTTGCGCAGGGGAGAATGGCCATAAGTCGCCGTGACATTATCATCGCCAGCTTGGGCGGCTTTATCGCGTGGGGCTTGGCCGTGAAATGGCTTCCTGTGCTCCGTTACATCGGATACGCCTTCGTTGCCGGTCTTGCCCTTGCCGCCATTTGCCTAGGTGCTGTCATCCTGTTAACCGTCCGAAGCGGAAATGATTCGAGATCAGGCAATGTTAGTTTGGCGGGCACCCCCGTTGCCTTTTTGTCTCCCGACAAATGGGAGCGAGATGTTAGCAGCTACCTGAAGACCGCGGATTATCACCCCGTCCCTCTATACCCGCAGTCGTTCCTTGTGTCGGAAGCACTAGATGACCTCCTCAAGCTTGCCTCGAGGGATTTTATATCTTCATGGTACCAGAACATAAGCGCCAATCCAAGATTCGCCAATGAAGTCGATCGTGGGATCAGAACTGCTCTATCGAATCTAAGGGACAGGCTGCTCCGGGAGGATTTGGTAGAAATCTTGGTGTCGCGGATTGTGCCAATAGTGACGAACCATTTTAAGGATTTTGATAAGGCTGAGAAAACCGTTCGAGGTAGAAACCTCTCGCGTGCTGTGACTGAATCGGAAGAGCTGGACCTTGCAATCGCGAGCAGGTATAGAGATGGAAATTTGCACCCTGCAGTATCTATTTCTTCATTCACAGACCCCAAACAGGTTCAGCAAGGGCACATCCGCAAGCTCGTTGTCACCATCCTCCCACAACTGCTGCCAGAAGGCTTAATGAACAGTCGAGCTGTGGCCGTTTTGATACGCGAGATTGTCACTTGTTCTGTTCTTCACCCGTTACTCTCGCTGCTCTCTGACCCTGACACTTGGAACCAGCTGATGGAAGCTTATGCACGCACGGCGCTCCAAGATCGCAAGACAGTACGGAAACTACGCGCCGCGCTGGATCAACATGCTTCCCCTGTTCCGAAATCAAAACAACATAGCCATCTATTTCCCAGGCTAAGGCCGGGCGATAGTGAGAGAGAGTTTGAGCGGTTCGTGCGAGCCATTCGAAGATGCAACATCCTGTCAGAAGCAAGAAGATTCCGAAGCCATGTCTCCAGCCAGCTCCAGCGGGAAAGCACGGTTGAGGACCAAGACCAGGTGTATCTTCGCCGTCTGGAAACGGGGAAACGTGTTTTGGACCAGAAAGTTTCCAAGCTTTCAGCCCTCACCGGCAGCGTGAAGTCCCCCGTAAATCCAGCGGACCTTCGCTACAGTTACATCTCAAAACCACATGAGGTATCTCTGGTGGATGTTATGCACAATGCAGCAGGCCTTTCTTACTTCATGGAGTTCATGGACCGCATGAACCTCATGTCCCTGGTCCAATTTTGGGTCGTTGTCGACGGGTTCCGAAATCCTCTTGAAGACGACTTTGGAGATGACACTCCTTCTAACGCTGTGACATGGACAACCGCGGATAGAAACGATGTGGTCCTGATTAGCGAGCAACATCTGTCAAAGCCCGAATTGCGAGTGCCCGCTGAATCCAGACAGGCAGTGAAGGAGTTCGTCGACGCCGGGAGGAGAGCTACCCCGGAACAATACCGCAAAGCACGAACAGTTATTCTCACAACACAAACTTCTGTTTTGCTTGAGATGCAAAATAAATATTATCCGGCCTTTAAAAAGTCGGATCTCTATTACAAATTCTTGGTTTCTGATGAAGCTGCCGCAGTATCCTCCTCCGCATCTCCCTCCCAACCAGAGCGGCCACACTTGAACCGGTCTCCGGGCTCTGAGAGCCATGATAGACGCCCACTGCCCGATCTAATGGGCCGCACAAGCTCCCAGTCAAACATAAAATCGCGGGATCTTCTGCGAGCAGCCCTTTCTACATCTGATCTATCGAGCCAATCTAGGCGTCTAAGCGATTGTAACATACCCCGGCGATCGTTAGACTCAGATCGAGCTCCACTATTTGATGATGACTCGGAAATTGACCCGCAATCAACGTCTATTCAGAGAATCGGAAAGGACTCTCAAAATGGAGATGGTGGGGATTGGTATGCTAGTGGTGTAATAGCATCCATGGAAGCTGCTTTGAATGACATTATCACCAATCAACCCAATGAAACGAGACTAGAAGAACCAAAAAGCTCAATTGGCTCACCCACGTCAGTATTACATTCGAGCAGGGAGCAAGATTCATCGAGGAGTTCATTGGAGTTTTCGCATCTTGATAACCCTCCAGCTGAGAAGGGAAAACCGAGCATTGCTTCGCTCGGGCTTGTTAATACGTCGTCTAGAATTGGCGTATTTGCGGATAACGATCTTTTTTCCGATGAGGAGAAGTTTATTGAAGATGAGTACGCTGACCCCGAGATCGAGGGTGACGAAAAGGATCCGGCTGAGGAGATTCATGAAGCAGCCCCCGGTGATCTTGGCTTGGCGGAAGCCATATTGGCTTTGACAGCTGATATTGAAAAGCTCATTGCGCAGGAGGAGGTGGTAGACACACTGACTCGGAAAGCGGAATTAACTAATAATACGGCGGAGTTGCGCATCTTGGGGAAATCCAGGTCTAGTATTCAGCGTGAACTTCGGCGGAAGGAGATGCAAAGGCAGCAATATATCGTTCAAGAAAGTGATAACAGCTTGTACGGTCGCTCCACCGTCCAAATTAAATCCATCATGGTTGGGAAGGAGGAGGATGGACGGGAATACGCACTGTGTATGCAAACCCCTGTTTTCAGTCGGAGTATTTACTATGCTTGCTTGTTAACCTACCTGTCTTAGATCTCATCGAGGTACAGAGGAATTCGGGAGACCAAATGCCTGCTGCTTCCTGGGCAATCCCTCGCCGCTATAGCGAATTTCACGAACTCCACCAACGACTTCGAGTGAGATATCCATCTGTCCGCAACCTAGAATTCCCCCGTCGACGAATGGTGATGAAACTCCAAAAGGATTTCCTTCACAAACGTCGCCTCGCCCTGGAAGGCTACCTCCAAAACCTCTTACTCCTCCCCGAAGTATGCCGGAGCCGTGATTTGCGCGCTTTCCTCTCGCAACGGGCCATTATCGCCTCCAACGATTCCCCTAACCACCAACACCAACACGAAGAAAATAAAGACCTTGTTACCCGTATTTACAACTCTGTCACGGATGGCATGGACGACTTCCTCGGTAATATTCCTGTCCTCGACCAACTCTCTACAGCAGGCCAAAACCTGATCTCCGCCGCTACCAACCAGCTCGCCGCTCCCCCACAACAACAACAATCAGACATTCTAACAACACCCGACGAATCCATAATTGCCGCTGAAGCAGAAGCGGAACTCAACGCCTTCGAAGACCGCGAACTGGAACCCTTCGTAAAACCCATCTGCGACATCTTCCTCGAAATCTTCGAACTGAACAAGGGCAACAACTGGCTGCGCGGGCGCGCTGTCGTCGTCGTCCTCCACCAACTACTCGGCGGCACCGTCGAACGCAAAGTGCGCGAGGTCGCCAAGTCGCTCGTCCAGGACACCGCGTTGCTGCGCTATATCAATCTGGTTAAGCATACGCTGTGGCCGGATGGGAAGTTGCGAGAAGACAGGCCGCGCAGTTTATCGGAGAAGATGAAGAGTCGGACGGAGGCGAGTGTTATGCTTGCGACACTTGTCCCTGACATGGCGGCGAGTGTGGTGGGAAGGGCGAATGCGCAGGCTGCGGCGAGAAGGGTATTTGCTACGTCGAATAATGAGAGGTTGAATGCGCATCTGGTTTTCAATGTCTTGGATGAGATCGTGCTTGTGTTGTTTGGTGACGGTGCTGGTGGAGGTGGGGGTCTACGTAGTTGAGAAGTGTACCAGGGGGTTTTTGATGGGATCAATATGATAATGCTATGAATTATGTGTGTTTGTATCAATGCATGTACAGAAGGTTTTCAGGGATTTGTTTTCTACGCATGGTTGACGGCTTAATGTTATTTCACTGTGTAATTTGTTGCTGTTCGTTTCTTGATATTGTTGGCTATAAGAGCTAGCGCTGAATCAATTCATATTATAAGGACACTAAACTAGTGATGGCCCCGACATCTCGGGAGACTGTTGCTGATAATCATGGGGAAGAGGGCCTTGTGGGGATGGGGGACTGGCCATCCGCCACATGGCATTTTGTGGGCCAGGGATAGAGTTCGACGTCAAGAGAAGCAGGAGAGTGAGAGGGAGTATATAGGACTTAGGTTTAATATGCCGCTATGCCGCTATGCCGCGCAGATTGGTGGAATATGGATGGATGAATTTTAGTTCCCCAAACAAACCCATTGTCCATAATGTTTTTACCAGCAGAAACACTATCGCGATCAACAATTGCCCGATTCTTTGTGCCCATAAGACTCTGTGGAAATAGTGTCAATATTCGTCGAATTGACGGGCAGAGCAGCAGCATGAATTTCCTGTACTTATATACTGTGAGACAGTCCACCCGGTCTTTCATATCTCACTGCTTGAATTGAACCCTATAAAACGAGGGATGGCGCTACTCCACCTCCAGCACCAGAGCTAGTGGAATAGCGAGGAAGAATTTCAGGTTGAGGATATTATTAAAGAAAGAAAAACACCAGGGTAAGGAACGTTACCGTGTACGCTGGGAAGGGCTTCGGACCTTCTGGTGATACATGGGAACCTCTTGAAAACATTCAAGAGACTGAAGCATTTGATGTTTTTGAACAACATGAATCATCACAGCGACCAGCGTTAATCCTGGTTTTTTGATCATGTGGTTTTAATGAGGCAAGCGAGGTGTCAAAAATATTCAAATCTTCAGGAAAAATTCAATTTCATTTATCATTATCATTCTGATTGGGGGAATAAGTCAAACTAGCTAGGCGCCCAGGCGTGCGCATACCCTCTAGTTCCCCTAGGCCAGGCCCCATTGGATTAAGGTCTTCTCACCACCTCCCTGTCTCGCCCACTCTGACTGAATTCCTATTCTCAATCACCACAGCCACCATACGCTGCTCAGGCACGGTGACCCTTCCTTCCCCAAGCTCAACACTTCCTTCCTCAGCCAACTCCGCCATCCTCCCACTCCTCCTCCTCCTCCTCCTCCTCCTCATCAGAGGATGCAACCAGCGCACCAGCAGCCTCACTACGGCGCTGAGCGCGATGAGTGACACCAATCAATGCAGCAGTGCGGGCTTTTGCTGAACGCGCAGCACGGGAAGGAGCCGTCAGCACTGCTGCCAGACGCAGCAGTTTGGCCCGATAGCGTGGAACCTCCGCCGAACCCACCCGCTCTGCAAAATACTTTTTGCAAAAAGCCCTGGAGGGCAAGCAGATGACTCAGCCCAGGGGAGGGAGAAAGCTAAGCAAACAATAATCAGCTATCACGCCAATAGCGCAGAAACCTCCCTGTAACAGCAGTTAAAGGCGCACTCTACTCACACGGATACATGGTTTGTGTGCGAGACAGCAGTGGCCGCAACGCTTCCCACGGCAGGGAAGAGCACACACCACGGACATATCGCTCATTTCGGGCAAGCACCGTTCACAAGGGATATCCCTATGGCACAGTCAATCATGTATGCCCCATCTAATCACGTCAACTGCTACCACACGCACTAGCAGCTGCGCCAAACGCGCTAAAATCAGGGGGCTTACTATTTTATGACTCGGCTTGAAGCACCCTCGGACTCTTGCACGGTCCTGGAGATGGGGAACGGCCCCAAGTAGAACTGTCTTCACGATATGTGGAAATCACGGAAGAGAAAACTCTGGGGGCCTCAATGTTGACGGTGTGTCGACCAACGTGCTACCGTCGATGAGGAGGATTCAACCACCGGTTCCAAGTACCGCATCTGCGTACGCAGGCAGAGGTCGGGAAACACATTATGCTGGGCCAGGAAGGAGATATACTGGACTTTAGGCTCCTCCGTAGAGCGCAAGGCAAATAGCCTAGTGGTTCGCTTGATAAATAGGACATTACCAGGGAAACGGTTAGCGCTCCCCGCCCAATAGGCTGGCAGCGACATATCCAATGTAACGTGCTTCGGTGTCGATAGTAATCAAAGAACCCTTCTCTGGGTGACATGCTGCCAGGTCGCTGATACGCGTTAGGGAAGGTAAGATTGGCTTCATATAGGATGAGTGAAGACGGAGACACAAACAGACAAGATTCCTTGTATCAAGGTGTCCCCGCACTCCGCGTATGATGATAAGGTGCAAGCGAGAAGCGAGTACCATGTACAGCCAGCGCACAGATACTATAACCCCCAACATTCTTCATCGTTGCATTGACTGGCGAAATCCCCGACGGGTCTTGTTGGAAGCGTTGATGAACAGGAAATAGAAGGCGGCGAAATAATAAGGGGTATATATATAACAAACGCGTCGGCCAGGTAGCTAATCCATACGGGGGAGCTCTCGTCGGAGCTCAGTAAAGCATAAAACGGAGGTCGATGTTTGTCAGGCGGCGGGTAATAGGAAGGGGGAGGCCGGTACCGGACTGACTCCTAGTATAGTAAATATAATTTGGTATACATAGCGGCGACGATGTCCCATCCACATACGACATCCAGGATAATCCCTCCAACTCCCTGCCACGAGCCAGCTCGCAGGAGCGGAAGTCACCTTGCTTTCTTCAGCCAATTCGTTGTATTAAAGTTCTGCGTGGTGAATATTATGACGCCCAGAGTTATTCTTTTTGAACTTCTGTATATCTTGGAACTTTTGAGGTAGAATACACCAGAGGTCAAGTTGCTTGATCATGAGCATTGAAATCTCATATGGAATAGTGATGATATCCGATTTCATCAATGTGATAGCATTAGACGCATCGATGTTTTAGAAACTTAAGATCTGGCACAAGAGTAGCAATCGGCATTCAATTTGACAAAGTGTTTTCATACAACCGAGAAAGACTTCATTGATCTTGACAATATTGAGAGTGGTGATTCAAGATGTCTCAACCACTTAGTGTGAGGCGGTCAGATCCGGTATCCCGTTATCGGGGAGGCAGTGTAATGGTATATATGGTTTGCTGTAGCCCACCCACTAGAGGACATTGGTCGGTTGGACACTATGCAACGGAGCGACAGCCAGGAGAATTGCTTTCGCAGTCCCTTACTTAGAGGTTATACTTCAGTACGATGTCGCGGATGCTGGTTTTAGGGAAGGCGTTTAAGTATAAAAGGTGGAGGTGCATAGAACCCCCTAGGTTTAGGTTGGTAGGTACGTACGTACGTGTATAAATAACATTTCCATTGCAGAGGTTGCAGGGAAGTGGGGGGATTTGCTCACGCAGACCCTTATTTAGCAGATAAATAATAAATATACAATATGGTTGATATCTCAGTTATATGGAGGGCGCTGGCTATAGAGGGTGGCATAGAGCCGCCACCACCGTATACCTGGTATAGGTAGGTAAGCGTCTATGCGTGCGGAGGATGGATTGGGGTTATAGTAGAGGATGATGAGGGAAAGAGGAAGAGAAGAAGGAGGAGGGGAAGATGGGGGTATTTATACCCGCAGGCCCCAGGTGCCGTTTGCAGGTGTCATCTATGTTTATTAGCTGGCGGCTGATAAGGAGTGATTGATGGAAGGTTCCTGCCCGTTATTGAATAAAGGTCCACTGGAGGTCGTTGAAAGTTTGCGGGCTAGTCGGAAACGGGAATAGCGGGGTGAGTGACATAGGGGCAACGCTAAAAGTAAGCTTAAATGTGGTGATGAGATGTCATGAGATACTCAAAACGATTCACTGCGGGGCAAGGATTGAAAGCTCTACGGAGAGATAGGTAGTTACCACACCGTGACTTGTCTTAGTTAGCCATCTTTTCTACTTTTTTTTTTTTTTTTTTTTTTAAATGTAAGGAACAGTTATATCACCTTTTCACTTCTCAATTTCAGGGTAACTTCTTCGGTAGGTGGTTAAGTTGATTGATTCTCCATATTCCACAGATTGAAAAAACGAGGCTTACATTTAACTATCCACCTACCCACCTAACGGCCCGGACAGCTGAATAGCTAGCCGCCAAGCACCGTTTAAATATCATAAAAATGAATGACAGTTTATAAGCACGCGCTCTCCTTTTCGGATCCAGCTCTGCTCTAAAACGAAGACAGTGAGAGGAGTAGAGAAAGTGTAGAATTAAATGAAGAAGCAACGGGGGGTTTGAAGGGAAAAGAATAAGGCCAACAAACACAGCTCTGGGATCGTAACAAGGCAGGAACCCATTTATCCCACCGGCGGAAAAAAAGAGGGAAAGATTGCAAAAAACAAAATCTCCCTTTTACAGCGAGAAAGAGAGGCGACATAGATAAAACATATCAAAGTTAACACAATAGCGCCGAATGCACTTGATGCATTGCATGCGATGGGTCTGCACACACCACAAAGGGGTTAGGAAAAAAGACGAGGGACAAGGCCGAGAGGCACGAAGGTGCATTCAACCAAGTCTCTTTACAGTAAACCACAAGCATGGAGCATGGAGCATGGTGCAGGGACGCACTCCGGGAGGATGAGGTTTATTCATCTGTATCTCCGCCCTTCTTTTTGGACTTTTTACTGCCGATAAAAGCGCCTTGCTTCTTCTGGTGGACGATCAGTCGGGTCCATGATTCTTCTTTATCCCATTCGAAACCGGCTAGGATAGGGTTGTCGAGTTCGTCATCGGCCTGGAGATGAAGAGTTAGGACAATACAATCCGCTGGAATGGGAGAGTTTATATATATATATATATTTATGTTTTGGGCAGAGATGAGGCGCTTACCTTCTTCTTAAATTGCTTGTGAATAGCGTCCAGCGCATCTTTGATTGTGACCCCCTTTAGGTTTCGGGCAGTGACTTCCAGGCCTAGGGGGAAATGCAGATCTATCCGCTTGACAGGCGGGGTGGTGAGGAACTTCTTGAGAGCTTCCTTGTCATCCAGGGTGGTGGGGGAGGTGTTGAGTTTCCTGTATGAAGATTATATGGGTCAGCTGGGTGTTCCACGATGTGCGGTGGGTGCCTTCTTGAGATGAAATGGCGGTCTATGTATTGGAGAACGACGCAGTGGCGAATCTCACCAGTTGAGCTTCTGTGTTTCAGGGGCAATGGCCAATTCGATCCCTTCCTTTTCTGCACGGGGGTATTTGTCAGTCTGTGCTCGCCTATGGATGGTCCCCAGAGATAGGGTGTGCGTATGTGCAATGCTTACCTAGGTCATTGATGTTTCGTACACCCTCGGCTGACGAGGAGGTGCGTTTGTGAGCTGCTTTCTCCTTCTTGTTGTCGGGAGGGGATATTGAGAGGCCAGCCACGGCGGAATCGACTTTGGAGAGTTCTTCCGACATGATGACGGAGGAGTTTGTGAAATGGATGGAGGATGTCAGTCTGAGATTTAAGTTTCGGTTAGTCGAGGTGACTGATGCTCTACAGAGAGACTCGATGGAAGGATACACTCAGGGGTGGGATTGATGCTGAAGATTTGGAGACGACGAGTGTGGCAGTGGATGTGAGAGTGATTCGAAACCCGGGAAGAGAGAGAGTGGAGCGGGGTGGGGGGGGAATTGTCAATCGAGCAGAATA